TGTACTTCAGGACAAATCTTGAAACATCCTTTGTGATGATGAATGCCATGCCATTCCTCTTTAAACTGTAGTTTCTGTCATAGTAGATCATATGGAAGATTTAGGTAAAACTAACAGTGGGAAAGACTGAGTTATATTCAAGATTACAGCAGTGGTATGGAACAATGTGTATTTTGCAAAACAAATTGAAAACATTGCATAGGAAAATAATTTTAGAACTGTACAAGATGAATGATCCTCTTGATGGTTTATAATATACATAAAACATTCAATTCTGTGAAAAGTGCTGAGTATAAATAACCTGTACACACACTGGGGAAATGCTGGGTTACAAAATTATTTGTACATGAAATGTTTTTCATGGAATGGTTGGTGAATTGCAGCCTTAGCCAATGGATGTGGAAGGGAAGAGAAATAAAAACTCTTAGATGAATTGCAAAACAACATTTGAACTCTGGTGTAAGATGCCTTGGGTTCAAATTTTGGCTGGCTCTGCTACTTAACTGCTTTATAATCTTAGACTAGTTACCTTACTTCTCTGCATCTCATTCTCTCTGTACACTATACAACAATATCACATTACCACCTAAAGCTATTGTGAAGACTAAATAAATTAACGTATGTGAAGTGGTGGTGCAGTGATTAAGTGTTCTGCCATTAATCGAAAGATTGGTCATTCAAATCCACCAGTTGCTCTGCAGGAGAAAGATGTGGCAGTCTGCTTTTGTAAAGATTTACAGCCTTGGAAACCTAGTAGGACAGTTCTACTCTATCCTAGAGGGTTGCTATGAGTTGGAATGAACTCAATAGCAGTGGGTTTGGTTTTTCGTTTTGGTATGGTGAATGCCACCATGTTATAACCTATAGAGCAGTTTCTGATTCGTGGGTATTAAAGGAAAGGGGGGGGGGGTCCTTTTAGCTGGATTTTTAAATCTCTATATAAGATGCCCCCAGCATCTATATCCCTGATGCTTGGCACATAGTGGCTGCTTAACAAATATGAAAGAGAGAGTGAAGGTCAAAGAAAAAGACATACAATGAAGGTTATATAAAATTTGCTAAACATGACAAAGGACTTTCTTCAGTTTTGGGAAATCCTCTTAATTTTGATAATTTCTTCCACTCCATGTTCTCCTTTCTAAGATGCCTATGAAGTCTCTCAGATTTTTGTTCCTTGTACTATCTTTTCCCTCTCTCTTTTTTGGCTCTATCTTCCAGGAAATTTTTTAAAACTTTATTCTCTAAATTTTTGCAAATTTTCTGTTCCTTTTCTAGAGCATCCTCTTCTAAGCTTTATAAAGATAGTATATTCTTAAGTCTGACCATGGAGCTCTGGTAGCATAGTGCCTAAAGCACTTGACTGCTAACCAGAAGGCTGTCGGTTCAAATCCACCAGCTACTCCTTGGAAGGAAGATTAGGCAATCTACTTCTGTAGTGATACTGCCTCAGAAACCCAAGGAGGGGTCGCTATGAGTTGGGTCCAACTCCACAGCACATAATAACAACAGTAAGTCCGACCAAAATAGAATATTTATTTTTATAGTTTCCTTCCATGCCCTGAATAACCTATTTCTCTGAGTCAATGTGTCTACTTACTAATACTGGACTTTTCTCTTTCATGCTATTGGTTATATTATTGTCTGATTCTTGTTTTAAAATTAGATGAGTTGTTGCTTCCTCTGTTTTCTAGCTCAGTCTCTTCCCTGCATGAAAATTCTACCTAGTAACCCTGTGTGGGAGCAGGGCAGGACAGAAAGGGGTGTCAATTGCTAGGCTTTCCTACAGGGCAAGAGCTGGCTATCACAACTACGGGGCTTTTCAACGCCAGAATGAAGGCTCTGACCTAGATGACAACATCTGTGTAGCACATCAGGGATGGAGAGGAGGATAGGGTGCCAACTGGTACAAATTATTCCATATATAGGACTTCAATTAATCTGTTTTTCAGTACCACTTCTCACTCTCACAATCCACTGTACCTGCCAATTCTGGCCCAGAGCCTCTTGGGATTCCCTTAAGCAGGCTGGCTCCTAGCTCTCCTCTAGCACATTCTGAGCTGTAAATCTTTCCACCTCTTTTATCTGTCAACATGCTCCCATCTGCTTTGTATTCTAGAAATTCACTGAAGGCTATCGCTTGTTGCTTAATATCCTCCATTCCCTTTCTCTTCTCCTTACTATTCTAAATCTATCCTTTTTATTAAATCAATTATTGTTATGCAGTGGGGTCTTGGGAGAGACTAGAGCAAAACTTAAGGCTCAACCTTAACTTTTTGGCCAGTGATTTTATATGAAGAAACAGGTTTATGTTCTTGTAAAAGTTTTTGTTTCTTTAAAGAGCATATATGAAAGAAATAAATTTCTAATGCAACAATATACATTTAAGTATCTTTGTTTTTTTCCTAAATTTGTGTATTTTTCAAGCAAGAGACTACTTCAACATTTGATCAAAGTATGTGACTTTTAAAGGACTGGACCAGGAAGACACTCAGTTTCTTTTGGCTTTGATGAATCAAAAATATCTGTGCCTTTCAACCACGAAAAGCCACAAGGCAACAGTTTCTGTTTCATGGGGGATGCTACAGAATGTTTTCTGTGGGTGTGTGTGGGTTGAAATGAATGAATTTAGCTTTGGAAATGTGGATTTTGAGGTGCTTAATTTAAGAAGCACTAGGTTAAGTGCTCAGCTGCTAACTGAAAGGTCCGAAGTTTGAAGCCATTAACTATTCCATGATAGAAAGATGTGGCAGTCTGCTCCTGTAAAGATCATAGCCTTGGAAATGCAGTGGGACAGTTCTACACTGTCCTATAGAGTTGCTATGAGTTGGAAATCAACTCAACGGCAATGGTTTTGTTTTTGGCTTATTGAATGGTTTAAGAAGGGATGTCTAATAAACAGTTGAACATATGTTTACAGATCAGGAAGAATTTGGAGTCATGAACCATTCTTCATATGAAATCACCCAGAAAACAAACATTTATAAGAGAAAAGAGTAGAACTCTGGGTAATATAACATTCAAGGATGAGTGGAAGAAAATAAACCTTTAAAAGAGACTTCAATTATGGAGAAAAGAAGTTTCAATTATGTCAAATGCTGCTGAGAGTACAAGTAAGAACAGGGCTAAAAATATATGCATTCCATTCTAGTAACTTAGTAAATACCTTGGTAAAAATATTTAAAGTGAAGTGGTGAGTTGGTGGAGAATGAGACCAACCTTCAGATCATCTCTAAAACAGTAAGTATGTCGTGGCATCAGTTCCCACACCTGGGGAGTCTCTTCAGTGGCAATGTTAGCTGGGTGAGAGGGTAATGTTTATATCAATTCAGAGTTGAAATTGGGCTAGAAGGATGAAGAGTAGAATGAAAATGAATGAAGAACTGAGATTACCAACAATAGTTACTGAAAACAGTTCATGCAGTTTAGGATTGACATGGGAAAATATGAAATCAAGAAGTATGTAAAAGCTTGAGAGGGCCACAGATTGTTAAGTATGAAAACAGATACGTGAGTAAGGAGTTAGAAAGCTAGGTGGATAGAAAGCTGCAGTCAGAGAAAGGGAGATTTAAATGCCTATTACTAGAAGTGGGAAGGTTTTAGGTAATTACAAACTGTAGGACATGGCAGAGGAACTGAAGAGGTAACTTAAGAGAAGTAAAGGTCCAGATCATTGTAGTGCAGAGAGCCAAGGAACTGGGTTAAGGAGCTAGACTGGCTATCCATATGGATGACAGCGTTGAAGTGGCGAGGATGACTAAGAGCAAGCTTCAAAATTCTTCATTAAATGTGGGAAAGAAATATAGAGAATGGAGGAACAGTCCAACAAGCAGCAGATGGTACACTCAGCTCTGTCTGAAAAATTAGAAGATTCCCTACTTGGGCGTAAGAAGTTAGACTGTATTAGACTCAAAGAGAAGAGTCAATTTAACATTTGAGTGCCTATTACTTACTGTGTCAGATGTAGGCAACACAAAGCCGCAAAAATCTCCCTTAGGCAATTAATAGTTCAGTATACAACCCCTTATGTCCCTTTCTACATTATGATAAGAGGATTTTTAATAATCTTGGCCCAATGTCAATTAGCAAAAACATTCTATTTCCATGTTGTCCTAAACACATACTTACCTGATTCTTTTTAGGAAGCGTTCTGTTGGTGTGGTTAGTTTCTTGAGACTTTCTCCTATTAATTTTCGTTTCTTTACAATGCTGGGCTTTGGTATTAAATAAGTTGCAAACACTTTCTTCTGCTAAACTAGTCAATTGCTAAAAAGAAAATTTAAAGACATCACAAAGCAAATGCAGTTACATTTTAAAGTCTGTCCCTAACTTTTATATTACCTCCCAAGCTGCTTCTACCATGTTATACTCCATTTCCTCCTGATTCACAAATTCCATTAAAATTATTTTAGCCATCTTATTTCCAAATAGGGGAATGGTAATTACCAGTTTCTGATCTTTTTTAAAACACAGACCCAGAAACATATGTATTCCACTAATTATGTTAAAAAAGAAAGAACAATCAACTTAAAAATTAGTTGATTAACTTATTTAACTAATATTTATCAAGCATCTACAATTTGGCACCTACCTGCTATTGGGTTAAAGGGAAAAAAATTATGAACTGTTAGACTATCTAAGCTTAAATTTTGGATTTATTATCCAACCATATTAGCTAAAAATGCTGTGATGGTATAATATACATTAGTGCACTACGATGCTATAGATAAAAATTCAATTTTGTCTAATTTAATAAAATAACAAAATACTTTTATTCAATGGGAGCTTGTATTTAGAGTAAAAGCAGTTGAAACTTAGTGTTAAAAAACAAAACAAGAGACCCAAGGAACTGGGTTAAGGAGCTAGATTGGCTATCCATATAGATGATAGCATTGAAGTATTGAGGATAACTTTGAGCAAGCTTCAAAATTCTTCATTAAATGTGAGAAAGAAATACAGAGACTGGAAGAACAGTTTAAAAACATGTTATAATTAAGCTCTGCTAATTATGTAATTATCTTCTTTACTCTGAACCTCACTGAAATTCATAAAATCAAAGATAAAGACCTTCAACAAACTTTTCAAACAAATTATCTTCACATTAACACAAAAATCTTGTTGTGTTGGATTTTTCTTCTAACAAAATTAATCAAAATCAAATCAGAAAAATGTCCTTACTCTGGGTTCCACTAGGTAGAATAAAATATTCATTGTTAATTACATTGATCAAACGAAGACTTTACCCTTTATTATTTGATGGGAAAAAAAAAAAAATATATATATATATATATATATATATAAAAAAAGATTAAAAATATACATTGTGCCAAATAGAAATACTCACATTTCTTCTGTTGGAGGTACGTGTTATTCTGCCAACATTACAGGAGAGCATATTCTCCTGGTTATTTGAAGAGCTAAAGGTATCAGTACCTGATGAGTAAGATACAAACAAAATTAAAGTAGTTAACAAAAAATTGAAATGCATCATCTTTTGGAGAAACTTGGTACTCTTTTGGATATTTACCTTTGTTTTTAATATCACATATAAACATAAATAATTATCAAAAAATAAATTTTGAGATGCAGGGTTTTTTTTAAAAAAAAAAAAACTTTAGGTTAACTGTATACCCAGTCACTCTCACCACTTTGCAAAGACACTACATTTAACATATTACAGTGCTGATCTAACAGAGTACAAATCGTATTACAATGAACACCTGTATTTTTGCTGATGTCCCATTTATTCCAAGCTATATTTCACACAATGAAACAGCAAAAAAGGGCATGAAAATTACTATGAAAACTTAGTTTAATTTGATAAAGTTCAGCAAAATTTTAGTTTGATCACTTTTAATAGTAAAAAGCAGTATAATGTGTTTAAAGGCAAAGATCTGGAACTTCACAGTTCACATTTTAGTTCTAACTTAAGACATGTCTTGGATTCTGTGCTAACGAAATTGTCCTATAGGTTACTAGAAGCCAGTAAAGGATTTTGGAGACATGAATAATGATTCCCATCCTGAGCTTCTCCCATGACCTTTGTCAGTCAGGTCGTAGTTTATCACAGAAAAGCTGGGAGAAATTTTTGTTGTCAAGATCATAAAAAAGCCAGAGACTTTGGAAAGTACATACACCAAAACTGTCATGCTAATGTAGATAAATTATTTCAGATATTCAAAAATGACCCTTACCACCCAGATCATTTCAATTGTGTAAACTATGAAAAAGGGCTGAATGTTGATGCTTAGCAGTTGAAAGGTAACTCCAAAGCTTACAGTAACTTGAAAAATGGGAGTACCCATCTAAGGAAGTGTGGGACTTGAAATGAAAGGGATGAGTAACAGACTTCTTCCAAGTTTTGCACATTATTTGAATTTTAAAAAACCAGGTATTCATTGCTGTAATAAAAATTAAAATTTAAAAAGAAAATAAAGAGATTAAGTTTCATACATATGCACATTGAAAATGGCATTTATGATTATAAGATAAAAGTTACTACCTGAAAGAGTCTCAGAGATTGAAGATTTACTAGCAGGACTCAGAACTGCAAATGATACCTGATGTGGTTCGATGTTTTCCTAAACACAGAAAAAAAAGAGTAGGAAATACCTTTAAATTTAGTAAATATATACATAAATAAATGAACTGCCCAAAAGAAAAATTATTTACTTGGGTAAGAGGAACTGTAATTAAGCAACGAAGATGGAAAAAGCAATGATAATAAAAAAAGGAATCAAAGAAAAACAAAGATATTGGATATAAATACATATATATATGTCTCAATAGGAGCTCTGGTAGCATAGTGGCTAAGACACTTGCCTGCTAACCAGACGGCTAGCGGTTCAAACCCACCAGCCACTCCTCGGAAGGAATGTTGGTCAATCCTACTTCCGTAGTGATACTGCCTCGGAAACCCAAGGAGGGGTCGCTATGAGTCGGGTTTGATTCCACGGCACATAACAACAACAACATATGTCTCAATATTTATCAATCATCTTTAAGATGAAACAATGTTTACTCTGCAATACATCAAAACAAAAATAAAAACTTCAATGGAAGTAGCAGTAATGAACCATTGAGAAGTTACTTTTTGATTTAAGATTCCAAGTCCTAACTCCTATAAAGCAAATTAAAAAATCCATCAATAAACACACTTAAACGTTGCAATATTATTCCAGAGAACTTCAGGATAAAATGGTAATGTAAACAAAAATGTCAGATCTTTTCTCTCCCACATAAATGCTGTATGATGGTAGCTATTGTGCCTGGATGGCACAAATGACTAGCACTTGGCTACTAACTGACAGCTCCAACCTACTCAGAGACACGTAGGAAGAAAGGTCTGGTGGTATGTTTCCAAAAGGTCACAGCCATGAAAACCCTATGGAGTACCATTCTACTCTGTAACACATGGGGCTGCCATGAGTGGAATCAATTTGATGGCAACTGTTCTCTTTTTTAGACTGGTTCTTGATAGATTCAAATGATCAGCTTGAGGAAAAAGCTTTCTATTACCAGTTTGCTGTTTTTATCACAAATGTAGTTATTAGATTTTGTTTACATCTACTGACATGATGGCATGATTTCCTTTATTAATCTGTTAATATGGATTATATACTGATTGTTTTTCAAATGTTAAACCAACCTTGCATATCTGTCTGGGACAAATTCCACTTAGTCATGATATTTTGTCTTTTTACATATTAATTTTTGCTAAGAATTTTCACATCTATGTTTGTGGTAGTTGTGCGTCAACTTGCCTGGGCCTAGTTTTGAGTGGCTGGCAACTGGATGTAGTTATTCCCCATGATGACACTGGCAATCAAGTCCGTGGTGGAATCTACTGGAACAGCTGAGTAGCTGCCTTAAGGATGTGGTCTGCTTCCATTATATAAGAATTGAGAAAGGTCTCTGCAGCTTTTTGGCATTCTTGGACCCCCCTGCATGTAGCTGAGTCTTCATTCAGCAACCTGCATGTTTCTTGCCATCTTAGGACAATCTCTGGACTTGAACTACTGGTCTGCCATGTTGCTTGATAATCTTGGGACTTTTTACTTGTGGACCTTATGTTTGCCAGCCTCAGCAGCTTGCAGCTGCCTGAGTTAAGAGAAACCTCCAACTTCTGTGGGTCGGGAACAAGAGGCAGAGCTGAAGCTCAAGGTTGAGGGGCCTTCACCTGGCTCCTAGAGCTGGCACTTTCAACTCAGACTTCTAGACTCCTAAACTGTAAAAGAGTAAATCCTGTTTGCTAAAGCCACCCATTTGTGGTATTTCCTGTTAAAATGGCACCAAAACAATGCTCATGAAGATACTGAACTGCAGTTTTCTTTTGAAAGCTTTTGCCTGATATTGATATCAGGTTACTGCTGACATCAAAAATGCCTTGTGAAGTATTCCCACCTATTTTTTGGAAAAGTTTGTGTAAAATTAGTACTATATCTTTCTTGAATATTTGATAGAATTCATCTGTGAAATGATCTTGACATGGAGTTTTCTTTTTATTATATTGTGGGAAGGTTTTAATTACATTTAAATTTTAGTTACTACAGGACAGTCCCGGTCATTGAATTCAGGTCTTCTTGAGGAAGTTTTGGAACGTGTGTCTGAAAAAACGTGTCCAGTTTATGTAAGTCGTTGAATTTATTAACATAAAGTTGTTCATAGTATTCCCTTATTACTCTTTTGCATCTGTTAGAATATATAGTTACATCGCCTCTCTCATTTCTGTTATTATAATTTGAGTCTTCTTTTTTCTTGACCAGTCTGATTAGAGGTTTATTTTTTTCCCCCAAAGCACAAACTTCTGATTTAAATGATTTCTCTCAGTTGCTTTTCTAATTTCTAGTTCATTAATGTCTATATTTATCTTTATTATTTCCTTTCTTCTACTTACTTTGGTTGTTAATGTGATTTTTCTAGTTTCAAGTGGAAGCTGAGATCACTTTCTTTCTTTTAAATATAAGCATTTATTTTCTTAAAGTTTCCTCTAAGACTGCTGCTTTAGCTGCAACCCAAACATTTTTTTGTTGTTGTACCATACTAGTTGGTTTATACAGACATGTCTCACTTTATTGTGCTTTGCAGACAGCGAATGTTTTACAAACTGAAGGTTTATGGCAACCCTGCATTAAACCAGTCTATTGGCATAATTTTTCCAACAGCAGGTGCTCACTTCATGTCTGTGTCCTATTTTGGTAATTCTCATATTTCAAACTTTTTAATAATGCTATTGCATATTTAATAGACTATACTATAGTGTAAACATAACTTTTATATGCACTGAGAAACCAAAAAAATTCTTGTGACTTACTTTATTTTGATGTTTGCTTTACTGTAGTGGTCTGTGACCAAACCTACACTATATCTCCAAGGCATTTGACTTATATACCACCATTTTGTGTCTAGTATATGAACCATGGCACAGTATAATTTCATTTCCCCCTCCTAGCCAATTTACTTTTTAACCAATATATTTTTACTTGCACACGTTACAAATCCATTATTGTTGCTTTTGTTATTATTAGGTGCCATCAAGTCAGCTCTGACTCATAGCAACCCTATGTACAACAGAACAAAACACTGCCTGGTCCCACACAATCCTTATTATGCTTGAGACCTTTTGTGGTAGTTCAGTTTGTGTGACTACTTGGCTGGACCTGGTTTAGTGGCTGGGCAGCTGGATGTAGTTATTTCCCTGATGAGACTGGTAATCAACTCCATGGTGGAATCTACTGTGAGCAGCTGAGTAGCTGCCTTACGGATTGTGGTCTGCTTCCTGTATGTAAGCAGAAGCCTTGAGGATAGTCTCTACCTTATGGGACACTTGGACCCTGCATGTAGCCATGTCATTGTTCAGCAGCCTGCCATGCTCTGCCGACCTTGGGACTTACAATGGATTTGAGTTAATGGCCTGCTGTGTGGTTTGGTAACATCAGGATTGTGCCATTTTATTTGTCAACCTTGGGCTTGTTAGCCTCAGCAGCCAGTAGCTTCCTGAGTAAAGAGATGTCTCTAGCTTCAGTGGGCTGGGAGCAAGAGGCAGAGCTGGAGCCCAAGGTCGAAGGGCTTTCACATAGCCCTTAGAGCCTGGCACTTTGAACTTGGACATAAAGCCTCCAAATTGTGAGAGAACAAACTCCTGTTTGTTCAGGCCATCCCACTTGTGGTATATTCTTGTCAGAGTGGCACTTGGTAACCAGAACACTTTTGTTACAGCAACTTTTTCAATCCATCTCATGTAGGATTTTCCCCTTTTAAACTGACCCTCTACTTTTAGCAAGCAAGATATCTTCCAGAGAAGGGTCCCTTCTGACAACATGACCAAAGTATGTGAGATGACTTCTGGCCATTCTCACTGCCAAGGAGCATTCCAGCTACTATTATTCCAGGACAGATTTGTTCATTCTTCTGGCAGTCCACGGTATTTTCAGTATTCTTCACCAATACCAAAATTCAAAGCCATCTTCATCAATCTTCTTATTCATTGCCCAGCTCTCAGACACAGATAAGGCAATTGAAAATACCATAGTTTGGGTGAGGCACACTTTGGTCTTCAAAGTGACATCTCTGCTCCTTAACACTTTAAAGAAGTCTTTTGCAGCAGATTAGTCCAGTGCAATATGTTGTGTGATTTCTTGACTGCTGCTTCCATGGGTGTTGATTGTGGATCCAAGTAAAATGAAATCCCTGATAACTTTTCTCCATTTATCATGATGTTGCTTATTCATCCAGTTGTGAATTTTTATGTTGAGGTATAATCTATACTAAAGACTGTAGTCTCTGACCTTCAACAGTATGTGCTTCAAGTCATCTTCACCTTCAACAAGCAAGGTTGTTTCATCTTCATATCACAAGTTGTTAGTGAATCTTCCTCCAATCCTCTTGCCACATTCTTATTCTTCTTACAGTTGAGCTCTCTGGATTATTTGCTCAGCATGCAGATGGATTAAGTATAGTGAACGGATACAACCCTGATCCACACCCTTTCTGATTTTAATCCACACAGTATCCCTTTGTTTTGTTCAAATAACAGCCTCTTGATCTATCTACAGGTTCCTTAAGAGCACAATGAAGTGTTCTGGAATTCCCATTCATTACAATGTTATCTATAATTTGTTATGATCCAGAATGCCTTTGCATAGTCAATAAAGCATAGGTAAACATCTTTCTGATATTCTTTGGTTTCAGCCAAAATCCCTCAGACATCAGCAATGATATTCCCCTCATTCCACGTCCTCTTCTGAATCTAGCCGGAATATCTGGAAGTTCCCTGTCAATACTGCTGCAACTATTTTTGAATTATTATCAGCAAAATTTTACTTGTGTGTGATATTAATTATATTGTTCAATAATTTCTGCATTCTGTTGGAACAACTTTCTTTGGAATGGCACAAATGGATCTCTTAAGTAGATTTGAAATAAGAAAAGTTGCTTTTTACAGTTACCCACATATTTAGTATTTTCAAAGTCATTTCTTTATACAGGTACAGATTTCCAGCTGGAATCACTTTCCTTCTGCTGTAAAGACTTCCTTTAACATTTCTTGTAGCGTAAATATGCGCTGGAGATGAATATGTTTAGTTTTTGCCTAAAAAAAGTCTTTATTTCACCTTTGTTTTACATGATAGTTTCAATGGGTATAGAATTATAGGATGACAGCAATATTTCTTGTTTCAGTACGTTAAAAACATTGCTGCTCCATTGTCTGGCTTGCATGGTTTTCAATGAGAAATATGCTGTCATTTTTATATTTGTTCTTCTATATGTCATGTGTCTGTTTTCTTTTGTAGTCTGTAATCTGCTATTACTCCCATTCAATATATTTTTCTTCTCAGATATTGTAATGTTCATATAAGCTTCAACTTGGTTCTTTATCTTCCACATACTTAACAAGCTCAATCTTTCCTCTACCTTCTTGAACATATGGAATATAGTTGTAATCACTTTTTAAGTGTCTTTATTTACAAATTCTGTATGTGTCAGTTCTAAGACTTTCTATTGATTAATTTTTCTCCTTATTATGTGGTAAATTTTCCTTCTTTGCTTACCCAGTAATTTTTAACTGAATGGCAGCCAGACATTTTGAATTTTACTTTACTTAATGTTAGTACATTTTGTATTCTTATATTATTATTTAAATTGTACTTTGGGTGAAAGTTTACAGAGTAAATTCACTTTCCAAATAGCAGTTCACATACACTTTGTCTCATGACATTGACTACAATTTACCACAATGCAACAGCTTCCCTCCCACTTCCTCCTGATAGTTACCTCTTCCCTGTGTCCATCCCTCCATGCACTCCTGCCCCAAGCTGTCTCCCTGTGCACAAAAAGCCCTTCTATTCTCCCATGCTCGTTCTTTCCAAGGAGTTTATCTACCTCAGGTAAATGTTCACCTCATATGCCTGTCCTTTGTTTGACTGGAAGCTACAAGTATGGGTTCAATTCCAGACCTGCAGGGCAGCTAGGGCCACAGGCTCAATGGTTCCACCAGGCTCTATCAGACCAGCAAACCTGGTCCCCCCACTTGTTTTTTTCAAATGATTTTGAGTTTCTTTCACATTGTTTTCCCACTCTATCCAGGATCTCCTACATAGAACCCACTCCGAGTGGTTGACAGTGGTAGCCAGACACCATCTAGTTCTTCTGGTCTCATAGTCGTATAGGCTGAGGATCGTGTACCTGTCACTTGAACTAATTGTTTCCACCAATCTTTGGTTTTCTTCATTCTTCTTTGCCCTGGATGAGGACAGACCCATCATTGCATCTAGATGGCTGCTTACAAGCTTTTAAGATCCTAGTTGCTACTTACCAAAGTAGGAGGTGGAACAATGTTTTGTGTAGTGTGTTATGCCAACTGAGCTTGATGTCCCCTACGACTATGGTCCCAAGCCCACAGGTTCCAACTACTTGTTTCTTCTGGGTAGCTGGCTCTGCCCAAGAAGTGACTACAACCTTGTCCCTTGTCAGCTCTACTATACACCTGGGAATTCTTACAGAACATACAAATACCACTGCAGAAACACTGTCTGTCAACCCTATATATGGTAGACATACCTAATAGTTCAGTCTGTCCACCCATCTATCCACCTGTATACCCATGTTTGCCTTCACCGACAATGCAGTACTGTGCAAAATGGTTCATCCTTATTGTCTGTACCTCTCATGTACCTCTCTATGTCTTCCACTTCCTCAGTGCCACCCTGTTGATCACTCGCATTTGGTCCACTGACCTTCTCTTCACCCAAATCAATACTTGTCTCCACCTATCTCATAAATATTCTTGAGCTTTGGTTTTTCAATGCAGTTAGTTACCTGGATATAGTTTGATCCTTTCAAGGATTCCTTTTAAGTTTTGTTAGGCAGGACCAGAGCAGCGTTTAGCCTAATTTTGCCCCATAAACCCACCAGCTGCTTTGCAGAAAAAAAAAATGGGGCAATCTACTTACATAAACATTTATAGCCTCAGAAACCCAATGCGGGTCATTATGAGTTAGAATCGACTTGATGGCAGTGAAAGTTTTTTTGAATGAGTGAGACATTAAGAATCCTTGTAGCGCAGTGGGTTTGAACCCACAGCTGCTGCATGGGAGAAAGATGTGGCAACATACATCTATAAAAGTTACAGCCTTGGAAGCCATATGGGGCATTGCTACTCTGCCCTATAGAGTCACTATAAGTTAGAATCAACCTGATGTCTACAGTGCCATTCCCGCCCTTGTGTGAGCTCTAGGGATTATTCCCTCTGTTCCATTAAGATAGCTCTTTCCTAGGCCTTGGGTTGTTTATTCAGTTCATGCACCAGTTAGTACCCAGCTGAAGCCTCCAGTGAGATCTCCAGAGTTGTCTATGTAGCTCTCCTCTCCAGACCTCTGCCCTGTGAACTCTAGCCTCCATGTATACCCTAAGACTACCAATTCCAACTTCTCAACTCAGGGAGATTTTGAGCTCTTCCTGGGCTCCCCTCCTTATGCTGTGGCCTGGAAATTTAGTTCAGATGTTTAGGTTGGGACTTTTGTGAGGTTCACACATCATTTGCTACCCTTCTCTCAAGGATTACTGCCCTATGCTTCCTGATGTTCAATGTCTTCAGAACACCTATCTCATACATTTCTCTGGTGTTTATGTTGTGTCAAGTGGGACTGTTAATTGGGTTCCTATTATTACATCTTGTCCAGAATTGGAAGATTCTTATTTCAAAGTATACCAGTAAAAGAGAGACTAGGTGTCCCCAAAGGAAGATTAATATGCAGTTCTCAAGAGAAAATCAAATGGTCTATCATGTTTTAAAGAAACTGTTCCTATTCTTTAATTCTGTAATTCCAATTGCAGAAATTCATCTTAAGGGGGGAAGGAGGAGAAATACTACTGTTTGTATTTATAGTATATCATTTCTAAGATGGTTGGTCTTTCAAAATTTAACATCTCTGATATCTGAGTGCATCTTGTAATTTAGGGTGTGTCACAGTTTAATTTTCAGCATTCTTTCTTAGTAATGCATAAAAGAACAGCACACCTTATAATCAATAGCATTTGGGTTCCATGAAACATGTAATGTATAAAGATTCAAGGAAATACTGTTTATAAACAGGGCTGAAATAATAAAAAAACTAAACAGAGAAATACACTAGCTTATACCATGAACAACATTTTAAGATTTCAAAGCATAATTATTGCTCAGGCAAAACAGGTGAGGCCTGATGAAAATATAAATGAAAGTTTCCCACACTTACAAGATTCTCTCCCTTGTCATCAAAATTTGGTTGTGGTAACTGCTCAGGAACTGGTGAGTACTCAAGTTGCAGAGGACTGGGACTACTTGAATCCTTTTTACGAACAGGCGTTCCTCCTTTTCGCAATGGAGTATTTGCTGGTAAGGATTCATCAAACACTTCAGGACTTAGGTCCTCTCCAAAAGTAACTCTCTTCCTCTTCCTTACATTTAGAACGGCTGGTACTTTACAATTTTCTTGCTCTTCTGTGGATAATAAATGAGAATGCATTAAAATATTAAGTTACATAAAAGGCATATACCAGAATCTTACAATAAGATATTTTGCTATTAATTTTTATAATAAAAATGCATAATTTATAGAGAAAACTAAAAATGGAAAAAGATACAAAATTATTTCAAATTAAAGTAGGGTAATAGTTTTAATAGATTGTCCCTGTGTCACAAACATTTAAGTGCTCAGAGGCAAACTGAAAGGTTGGAGGTTTAAGTCTACCTAGAGGTATGCTGGAAGAAAGGCCTGCCAATCTACTACTTCTGGAAAATCAGCCATTGAAAGTCCTATGGAGCACAGTTCTACTGTGACACACATGTGATTGCCATTAGTCAGAATCAACTCAATGGCAATGGTTTATTTTTTAAATGCATTTTAAATTAAATTTTACATGACTTTAAAAGTTTCACTATTAAGCAAAAATGGATCAATGAAATGGCTAGACCAATTCTGTTCCTACTGGCAGAAGATATTATTGTCAGAAGATTAAATACTGAGATTCTCCAAAGAGATTCTACTCTTCTCAAATGTTCATCACCAGGTAATTTCAGAAGTACAAAGACATTAGCAGACAATTCCATTTATATCAGTTTCTTAAAAAAAAAAAAAGGGAAATTATACCCTCAGGCTTAAAAATAAGTATGAATTTATTACCTGTTTTTTGTTCTTTGCAGTAATTTCCAAGATTTGACATTAAGCTTGCAGGAGTACCATCATCACAGAGGTTGTCACAGTGTTCCTAACAATATAAACATCAAAGCATATATATAATATATACTGATTAAAAGTATCCATTTTGATTTTGATTTCCCCCCATAAAGGTAGGTATTACAATATTAAAGATTATCTTTACTTTCATACTGGCTTAAAAGACCATGATATTAGCCACAAACAAAAACTAGGTTCCTTAGTACTTTAGTAAATAGTATTCTAAGCTAAAATCAAAGAACAGTAACCCATTAAGAGAGAGCTAGAATCCATTCCCTCATCTTTGAGCTAGCAATGAAGTTCAAGAAAACATAAGAAGAACTCCAGTGCACGAGGTATAAGAATGGCACTAAAACAAGAAAAAAAAACAAAGAGGTAAATGGTGTAATAGAGGGTTTTGTCTTTTAAGTATGGAAACCACATCTTTTATAATATGTAAACTTCCTGTTGTATTCCTATATTCTTTAGGAAGGAACAAGGAAAGAAGGTAGCATTTATCCCTCTGTGCTTCTCCAATGGAAGATTATAGAATTGGCATATTATTAAGGTAGAGACAGTGTAAATATTGCAGAAAAAAGTCAGGGCAAGCCCAAACACCTAGGTCACTGGAGTTCAGCAGGAGAGAACAGAGATGTGGGCTGATCAGAGTCACTTCTTAACTATCACCCTGTCAACCTGAACTTAAAGCCCTGACTAGCTAGCTCTTGCCTGTGATTCATTTTCTCCATTACATCCATTGAAAGAACAGCACCTTCTCAAAGAACAGTCTTACCCCAAATAAATCTTAATCATCTATCTCCCAGATGAGTTCACTTTCCTGTCTGGGGGAAATGCACATACCAATATTTGTAAGAGAAGTTAACTTATAAAACAAAGTCCATGTTTACTTTCATGTTTTCAGTTTAATTAAAGCAGTTATGAAAGTTGGCAAATAACAAAAATTTTGTACACCTACAAATTTTGGCAAGCTTAGTAAAATGATACCAGTTATAAACTGATTCTAGCAGCAGGGCTTGATGTTTGCTATATGATATTTGATATGTAATATTATTAACCAATAAGAGTTATATGGATTGTTAAGATGATCCCTTTGAGGAGAGGATACAACAAAAAAAATATATGAATGAACAGTGCTGTATGTATTAGAGATCCAAATAAGCTCTTCAATCAGAAAAGCTGCTAACTCATTTAAAATAACAATTACCATCCATTACCCATTTAGATGGAAGATAATCTAGTGGATTTGGCTTTTGAAACAAATTTGGAGGCATAGTTATATGTATAAAAAGGTTTATAGATTGAAAAAAGGAACTGTACTTCTGATAAGGTAGGCTCTGGCATTAATTTTATGTATTTTCCTGTTTGCTCAAATTACCCTATAAGGTAGTTACTAGTGTTACCTTTGTACAGATAAAGACCCTCAATTAAATGGATTGACACAGTGGCTGCAATGACGGGCTCAAGTATAGCAACTGTGAGGATGAAAGCTCTGGTGGTATAGTGCCTAAGGCATCTGACTGCTAACCAGAAGGCTGATGGCTCAAACTCACCAGCCACTCCTCAGAAGGAACACTGGCCATTTACTTCTGTAAAGATACCGCCTCGGAAACCCAAAGAGGGGTCCACTATGAATTGAATTGATTTGACAGCAATGAGTTTTTTTATGTAAAGATGGAGCAGGACCAGGCAGTGCTTCCTTCTATTGTAAATAGGATCATTATGCCTTGGACACACTCAATGGCACCTAACAACAACAACTTAGATAAGGAATCAGGACAAAAAGAGTTAAATAATTTGCCCAGCTATTAAATTTCAGAATTAGAATTTGAAAGCAGGCACTCTGACTGCAGAGCTTATACTCTTAACCTCTCACAAATTTTACAGTCTGTCATGGATTTTAACATCAGACCAATCTTGGTACATTTAACAATCTACAAGCCTAAGCTTATATAAAATGAGTTTAATAACTTTCTTGGAGGACCACTGCTAGGAATAAAGGAGATAATGTACACAATATACACCAGAACTACCAAACAGAAAGCACTCAGTAAATGCCAGCTAGTTCTATCAACTTCCTCTTTCCACATATTAACTGAGCTTAAAGAAAGAAGTGTGCCTGAAAGAAAAGGTATTTTTAAGATCAAATACTCTGGCTAGAAAAGGATAACAGATCAACCCATTAATAATAATAAGCCCTTTATAAACAGGCCTACTTATATTAAATTACGCATTATATTATAGTATACTGAGTTACAAAAGAATAAAATAAATGCACACAGAATTCTATCATTCAGAGAAAAGCTAACACTACTCTTCCACAAACTGTTCCAGAACACAGAAAAGGATGGTATCTTCCCAAATTCATTTTATGAAGAAAGCATAACCTTGATACCAAAAGTCTGCAAAGATACTAGTAAAGAGGAAAACTCATGACCAATATCCCTCATGAATACAGACACAAAAATCTTCAACAAAATCCTAGCCAACAGACTCCAACAACACATCAAAAAAATAATACATCAGTATCAAGGGGGATTCATAACACGTATGCAAGGATGGTTCAACATCAGAAAAACCAGGTAATCCATCAAATACGTAAAATAAAGGAAAAGAATCACATGATCATATCAATAGATACAGAAAAGGCATTTGATAAAATTCAACACACATTTGTGATAAAAACTCTCAGAAATAGAGGAATACAAGGGAAATTCCTCAACATAATAAAGGGCATATATGCAAAACCAACAGCTAACACTATTCTCAATGGTGAGAGACTGAAACCATTTCCCTTGTGAACAGGAACCAGACAAGGATGCCCTCATCTCCACTTCTATTCAACATTGTATTGCAGCAGGGCAGTAAAGCAAGAAAGGGAAATCATAGGCATCCAAATAGGTAAGAAGGAGTAAAACTATCCCTATTTGGAGATGATATGATCCTATACATAGAAAACCCAACAGATTCAGCAAGAAAATTATTAGAACTTATTGTAAGATTTAGCATAATGGCACAAAACAAGATCAACATACGAAAATCTGTTGGATTCCTCTACACCAGCAAAGATGTCTCTGAAAATGAAATAAAAAAATGAATACCACTTATAATAGCTACCAAAAGATAAAATACTTGGTAATAAATCTTACCAGAGACACAAAAGACCTATGCAAAGAAAACTACAAAACGCTACTTCAAAAAGCTGTTAAGAAATATACATAAATGGAAGAATATACCATGCTATGGATAGGAAGATTGAACATTATGGAAATGTTAATTATACCCAAAGCAATCTATACATTCAATGCAATCCTGATCCAGATTCCATCAACATTCTTTAAGGACGTGTAAAAACCAATCAATAATTCTATATGGAAAGAAAAGAGACCTCAGGTAAGCAAAGTACTGTTGTTGTTGTTATATGCCATCGAGTCGGACCTGACTCATAGCGACCCCTCCTTGGGTTTCCGAGGCAGTATCACTACAGAAGTAGATTGTCCCATCTTCCTTCTGGGGAGTGGCTGGTGGGTTTGAACCGCCAGCCTTCTGGATTAGCAGTCAAGTGCCTTAGGCACTAGGAAGTCTCACACTCCCAGAATTCAAAACCTACTATACAGCCACAGTAGTTAAAACAACCTTGTATTGGTACAACAACAGACATATAGACCACTGGAATAGAACTGAGAACGTAGAAATCGATCTATCCACCTATGGTCAGTTATCTTTGACAAAGGGCCGAAATCCATTCAATGGGAAAGAGCACAAATGGTGCTGGCAAAATTGGATATCCATTTGCAGAAAAATGAAACAAGATCCATACCTCATATCATACACAAAAAAGAACTCCAGATGGATCAAAGACTTAAATATGAAACCTAAAACTATAAATTTTATCAAAGAAAAAATAGGGGCAAACTTAAGGGGCCTAATTTATGGCAAAATAAAGACTGTCAAGCATAACCCAAAATATATAAACAGTAGAAGATAAACTAGATGAGTAGGACCTTCTAAAAATTAAATTCTTACATGCATCAAAAGACTTCTCCAAAAGAGTGAAAAGAAAACCCACAGACTGGGAAAACAGTATTTGGCAACTACATATCTGATAAGGGGCTTATGTCTAAAAATTTATACAGAACTCTAACACCTCAACAGCAAAAAGACAAACAATCCAATTAAAAAATGGGCAGAAGACATGAACAGACACTTCACCAAAGAAGATGTCAGGCAGCCAACAAACAGATGAAGAAATGTTCACAATCATTAGCCATTAGAGAGATGCAAATCAAAACAACAATGAGATACCATCTCACACCATCACTAACAGGAAAGTTCAACAACACAGAAAATAACAAATGCTGATGAGGATGTGGAAAGATTGGGGTCTCACACACTGCTGGTGGGACTGTAAAACAATACAACCACTGTGGAAATCAGTATGGCAATTTCTTAAAAATTTGGAAACAGAAATACCATTTGATCCAGCAATCCCATTACTAGATACATACCCTAAAAAAGTGAAAGCCAGGACACAAATAGATATATGCATACCCATGTTCACTGCAGTACTATTCACAATAGCAAAGAGACAGAAACAACCTAAGTGTCCATCAACTGAGGAAAGGATAACCAAACTGTAGTACATACACACAATGGAATACTGTGCAGCATTAAACAATAATTAGAATCCATGAAATTCCACATAATGGGGATGAACCTGGAGGACATTATACTGAGTGAAATAAGTCAGTAACGGAAGGACAAATGTTGTATTAGTCCACTATTGTAAAAAGTCAAGAAAAGGCTTATATATGGAAGGGATTTTTCTTTTTGTTGGTTATCAGGGATGGGATGGGATGGGAGGGAAAATTGCTAAATAGGTTAAAATACATATACACACACACACACATTTTTTTTCTATAATGTGTGTGTGTGTGTGTGTATATATATATAAGCTCTGGTAGCATAGCGCCTAAAGGCACTTGACTGCTAACCAGAAGGCTGGCAGTTTAAACCCACCAGCCACTCCTCGGAAGGAAGATGGGGCAATCTACTTCCGTAGTGATACTGCCTCGGAAACCCAAGGAGGGGTCGCTATGAGTCGGGTCCGACTCGATGGCACATAACAAGAACAAGAACAACAACACACACACACACCCCAAAGATTATTAGTGGTTACCAGGAGTAGGGTGAATGTCTTAGTGTTTATACTTTCACCACAAAAGATTTAAAAAAAAAAACCAAAAAACTCAGAGTCCTCTAACTGAGGAAAGAAGAAAAAAAAAATGATGAGACATTTACTTTTACATCAGTATGGCATATAACATTTCAGAGGTATTGCTCTGAAGCAAAAAAAGATGTTTATTCAATTTGCTTTAGGAAACGTAGCTCTATACCTACCTGTAAGCTTTCTGGAAACAGCTTAACAGAGGGTTTCTTCAGGACAGAACGAAGTATAAAGGTCTCAGAGGATGGAATGCCCTTCTTGCCCCCTGAAATAACTGGTGACTTGATGTCAGGAACTGCGTCTATGCTTGCTGCTTCTGTCAATTTGTCCTCCAACCAACTTTTCTGTGAAACAGCATCATTTGACCCTTTGTCCTCTTCATAGTCAGCAACCTTGATTCCTTCTAAACAAACACATAATCATGAAAGGCAAAAGATTTTCAGTCTGCTCTAGTTTAAAAATATTATGTATTTGCAATGATAACAACATGTTATTAAGAAATTTAACACTAACAATATCCTGCTTAGAGAGCACCATCTAGGATTTCATTTGAAAATATAAAAAGAAGATAGAGAAGTGACATTGGTCATACTTTTTAATTTAAATCTGAATACTCCAGATAAAGGTAAGTAAGGGATTTTGGCTCCCATGGAAACCTGAGATCACAAGAAGGTATATATCCAGGAATCAGCTATCAACTGTTATCTGCCCTATTCCTATGAAACTATATTATAGCATGAAACTAACCTTAACTAAACACTGAATAATGACCAATTTTATCGTTAGAATCAGAGGCATTTCAGTATGCAAGGATGATAAGGGGTGAGAGAGGAGGGGATGGTGAGGAAAAAGAATAGTAAGCCAAAAAAATTAACATACTATATGTGCCTATATGCAAGACAAAGTTTTCCCAAAACAAATTCTTTCTCACAAGGAAGCACTGTCTTTGAAATGAGTGATTCATTTAACAAGTGTAAATCTGGCCTGGCACCTATTATGTGACAGCCACTCTTCTAGGTGCTAGAGATTCACTGATGAACAAAATCCACAAAGTCCCTCTATCTTGTTCAACAAATAAGACAATATAAAATATATTAACAACAGAAAAAATGGAGAAGGAGGGGGTAGCTGTGGCTATAAAAAAGTAGCAATGAAACTGTTCTCTGTCTGGACTAGGATGTCATCACATGAATCTATGCACATGATAAATGTGCACAGAACGAAATACCCAAACAAACGAATGCAGGTAAAACTGGTAAATCAGTGGAATGTACCAATGTCAATTTTCTGGTTGTGATATTATTCTGTAACTATATTAATATTGTAGGAAACTGGGTAAAGGTTATGGCTGGGCCTGTCTATGTATTATTTCTTAAAACTGTGTGTAAACCTACAATACTTGAAAATAAAAAGTTAAATATATATATATACACATATATGGGAGCTCTGGTAGCATAGTGGCTAAGACACTTGCCTGCTAACCTAGACGGCTGGCGGTTCAAACCCACCAGCCACTCCTCGGAAGGAAGGTTGGGCAATCCTACTTCCGTAGTGATACTGCCTCGGAAACCCAAGGAGGGGTCGCTATGAGTCGGGGCCGACTCGACGGCACATAACAACAACAACAACAACAACACATATATACGTTATATATGAAGTAGTAATAAGTGCTATTATGGAAAACAATGCACCACTAACGGCATAGGGTATAATAAGGTGGTCAGGGATGGTTTCCTGAGAAGACATCTGAATGAAGTGAGGAAGCAAGCCATGCACAGTTCTAGGAAAGGGCAATACATGCAGAAGGAAGCCCAGTACAAAGAGCCTGAGGTAAGAACATACCTGCTATGTTAGATGCATAAGGCTAGTGTACTTGGAACAGAGTAAGCAAGGAGAAGAGACTCAAGAAATAAGCTCAGAGAGAAGGATAAGGGCTAAATCACAGGGGGCCTAGAAGGAATGGTATGGACTCCGAATATTATTCTTGGTATGACAGGAAGCCGATGAAGTATTTTAGAAGGGAAATGACACAGTGTGACTTACTTGTATTTTAAAAGCAGCACTCTGGCTACCATGTATAAAGGTATACATGGGGTTAGGACAAGGGTAGAAACAGGGAAATCAGTTAAGAGGACACACAAATCGAACCAGGCAAGAGATGATGGTAGCCTGGACCATACTGGACAATACTGAGAACAGTCTAAGAAGTGAGCATTGGTTAGACATTTGATATATTTTGAAGGTATAGCCAACAGCATTTATTAACAGGATTGGAAGTTTAATTATTTGAAAAGGAGATTATTTAAGCTCCAGGTATTTTTGGCACAAGCAATGAGGTGCTATTTACTAAGATGAAGAAAATAGGTTGATGAGCAGGTTGGGGAAGGAAAAATTAATCAAGAGCTGTTTGAATATGTTAAGTTTGAGATGTTTATTAAACACCCAAGTAGAGATCAAGAAAGCAGCTAGGTATTTAAATCTAGAATTCAGGGAAGAGGCCATGGACAGATTATTTCAATTTAGAAGTCAACAGCATATAAATGGTTCTAAGAACGCTGAAATCATCTGGGGAGTGAGTGAAGTGAGAAGAAAGGTCCAAGCACTGACGCCAGGGGCATTCAAATATTTAAAGATCAGGATAAAAGACAAAGAAGGAAAATACACAAAAAAGAAATGGTCAGTGATATAGGGGGAAACAGGAGAGAAAGATGTCCCAAAGCCCTGTGAAGAAAATGTTTCTTACAGGAGAGCATCATCCAGTATCTATAACACTGCTGAGGTATCAAGAAGAGGGATATATTGAGCCTAACTACTGGTATGACAATGAGGAGGGAGGTGTTGGTTACCAAGGGTTTTGAGAATGGAAGTGGAGCTACTCAAGAAAGAAAGGAAGGCATGGATACAGAGTACAGCCTGCTCATAAATGGAGTTTTGCTTTAAAGGAGAGTAAAGAAATGGAGTTATGGCTTAAAGGAAATCCTAGGTCAAGAGAAAGTTTAAGATGATTAATAATACAGTATAGTGTAGTATATTACTATATTATGTAGTACATTAGGAGCTCTGGGAGCATAGTTCCTAAGGCACGTGACTGCTAACCGAAGGCTGGCAGTTCAAACCCATCAGTCACTCCTCAGGAGGAAGGTTGGGCAATCTACTTCCGTAGTGATACTGCCTCAGAAACCCAATTTGGGGTTGCTCTGAGTCAGGTCCAACTCAATAGCATATAACAACAACAGTATAGTATATTAATGGGAAAAGTTAGTAAAAAAGTGAGAGGATAACTCAGACACAAGGTTCTAAACAGGGAGGAAGTGATGGGAACCAGCCCATAATGAAGAGGGTGGTCTTAAAATAAGAACACTGAGAATCTGTTGCAACAGGAAAACAGATAGAAAATATACTTGTACAGAAATGTGGGAGGGTTTTGTGGCAAGAGAACCAGAGTATTTGCTTCTGACATATTTCATTTTCTCAAGATCTAAGGTCTCTTAACACATACTTAAAAACTTAAAGAAAAATGGTAACGCTTTTCTAGCAAGATATACCTCTTATTACGTTCACAGGTCCAGTTCCTTATAAGAGATTTGATAAGCTTAAAAATATTGTACTAAATCTTATGGTGTGTTGTTGTTATGCACCGTCAAGCCGTACCCAACTCACAGTGACCCCTCCTTGGGTTTCCGAGGCGTTATCATTACGGAAGTATGGTAGCGTTGAAAAAAAAAAAGTCATATATCTTGCATGGAAACCATGTGAACCTCAGCCTACATGATCCTGAGACCAGAAGAACCAGAGTGTGCCTGGCTACGACTGTCAACCACTAGGAAAGGGATCAGCGTAGAGGACCCTGGATGGAGTGGGAGAAAATTGTGGAACAAAACTCAAAATCATAAAAAAGACCAGGTCTACTGATCTGACAACTGATGAAACCCCTAAGATTATGGCCCCTAGTCACATTTTGGGCCTGGAATTGAACTCACTTCCATGGGTTCCAGCCAAACAACAGACAAGCATGTTGTTGTTGTTAAGTGCCGTCGAGTCATTTC